ACTGGTAGCTGGAGAGGTGCCAGTTTCACCTCCTGTGTGTAAAGTATATCTTCTTCTTCTTCTTCTTCTTCTTCTTCTTCTTCTTCTTCTTTCTTCTTAACAACCAAGTTAACGTTATCCAGCTAACAGCACGATCATCAATATGTTCCACTAGCTTTACAGTGATGTTAGCTTTGACTTTGGACTCTGTGTTGGACTCGGTGTCGGCCCGGACTCCATTTATAAGTTTGTCAGTTTGTACAATATTCTGTCTTCTGCTCTATTAATATAAACTGTCTCTGTCTCAGGAAATGACATCATATCGTTGGAAGCTGCGTCTCTTCCTGTTTAACGTCAGCTGTTGTGCGGCCGCCGCGTACTTCTTCAGACGCCACAATAAGTTCTGTGAGTCCGGAGGTGAGTGTCGTCCTGCTCTCACAGTTTACTGGATGACTGTCCCTCGTTGTTCACTTCCCCTCTCTCCGTCCTCCAGTCTACACCCTGTTCGCCCTCTTCGAGTACCTGGTGGTCTTCTCCAACATGGCCTTCCACATGACGGCCTTCTGGGACTTCGGGAGCAAAGAGGTGCTCGTGGCCACGCCGCCGGAGGACAAGCGATACTGAGCAGCACTCACTGGTAGACTTTGTAAAAGAAAAGGTGGAAGCTAACGCAGCGACGGGACCCGAGTGTGAACGTGAGATCATTTCAGCCTCACCTGTGACCTTCTGGAGCCACAACGTTCAAACGGTTCAGAAGGGTTTAAAGCAGGACATTATTCATCCACACACTCTGAGAAAGTGTTTGTCTGCCAGAAACTTTTAGGAAATAAAGAAAATCTCTCTGAAAAGAATCCATGTTTAATGTTGTCTGACCACAGCGGCCAAGTTTAAGGCCTGAAACGTACGATTATACCTCGCTGTCCAACTGCACATTACAAATATTACATAAATACACATAAATAATGTGTAAAATATGTCTGTTTAAAATAAAAAGAGCTGTATATGGTGACAGGTAGATATAAATGTGACAGACTGGAGGCGCTCTAACGACGCTCTGATCACGGAGCCGAACCTGGACGTCACAAAGGCGCCCGGTGGCATTTCGGGGTGATGCTACAGTGTAGAAATACCTGCAAAGGTATTCAAGGATCAAAATCTACGTTAGTGTAACTGGTTTCATCTGGTAACGAGTAGTTCCTCGTTCACTCATCGGGCGCCGCAGGTAAACAGTTTGAGGATTTCTCAGGAAGTTATTGCTGTGTGACTCACTCGCTCATTTTACTGTCAAATCCCCGCCAGCGTGCGTGAAGCTGGAGTACAACAAGAGCTTGTTGGTCGATCAGATAAACACCCGACTGAGCACCGACTCATAACGGCGTTCATTCACCGGCTGTTATGTATGTGTGCGCTGCTGCCATTACCATGGTAACTACCTGGCTCTCTGCTTCCTGTCTGGTGCTGGAGACGGACTGCTCTCATTGGCCGCAGCTCGCTCCTCGACAACCACCAGAAGTCGTTGCAGGACGGAGTGGACGAGTAAAATCAGGGCTGAAATCACACAGTGTGAACTCGTTACATGTTATTAGTTCTCGTGTTCAGCCACCGGGAAGAAAAACACAGAGGCGAAGGGAAAAGTCAGAAGTTTTGCGAGAAGTAGTGTCTGATTATTGTCAGAGATCCTGGATAAAACATAAAGCTGTAAACTGTAATCCATGGCCAATAAAACATATTTTTATTTTTCTTGTAAAAGTTGATTTTGGACCTTGAACCAGTGAGCAAAGTTATCCTGAGCAGACAATCCCAACGTCCGTTAGCTAGAAGATTAAAGAATCAGCTGTTTATCTCCATTGGTCAAGTTTTATTTTGACTATTTTCTGGAAATCCAGTTCAAATCTGCTCTGGAAACTTGACTGTTGAGCACTGCTGGAAATTTAATCCCATTAAAGGACCAGTATTGCCGATCTATGAATATTAATGTTACACACTGGAGCTCTCAAACATCCGCAGTAAAATGTTCGGGGCAGAACTCCACTGATGAAGGACAGGAAGAGGAAGTGGCTCCGGCCTCTGAGGAGACACTCCGGAGGAAAAGACGACATCCTGAAACACAAAGTCAAACTTCACCTGCAGAGAAAGTTCAGAGGCAAATCTTTAGTTGAAATGTTCTCATCAACTGTCTTTCTCCAGAAGCTTTCACCTGAATGAACTCTTATATATTGTACCGAATTTAAATCTATAATCTATAATCATTACACAGTGTATAAACTTTAGAGCTATGTTCTAGTTGATCAATAATTAATAACCAGAAGCTGTCACACATTGACTGTTTACCATCCACTGTTTAGATCTTGGTGCTTTTTAACTCTAGATTTGAACCGGATGAAGGATTTTAGTCATCGGACGTCTGGATCTTAAGTTATCAGAGAAACAAGCTGAGCTAACGTTAAGCTCCGGCTCGCAGCCCTCCGGGACGTCCTTTGTCTGTCCAACAGCGCTGGGAGACAGCCAGTGATTTTTAAGGTGGAACTGCTTTATTCAGTTGTTTAGTGGTTTTAATCCAGCGGTCTGTTTGTTTTTGGAGAGGAGTGCAGTGACGCCAATGGTGGTGAAAACAACAACTCCCATGATCCCACGCTGCTTCACCTCCTTATCACACTTTATATTTTCTTATTGATTGGATGCGTTTAATATCCCTGATTTGATGTGTAGAAGCAGATGAACAGTAGGTCTCAAGCTCTGTTTGTTTACATCTAGATGTTGTTGTCCTCATCACCATGGTAACCTTAGTTTGTAAAGGCTACTGAGAACATACATGATAAAAATAAAAAAGATAAAATATGAAGACAGTCTGACAGGAAGAGTTCCTCTCAGTGACCTGCAGGGGGCAACATCCAACCACTGACAGTGACCTGACTGCAGGTACGGTCAGCTGATCAATAATCAGCCTGTGACAGTCAGAGTCCAATCCTAAAGATAACTTTCTGTCTTTAATTTTCCTGGTTTGTTTGTTTTGTTGTTGGATTTTGGGAAGTAATGACGAGTGAACAGCATCTCTCTTTCCTTAACTAGACACTTTATTTTACATTTCAGCCATTATTCACCCCACATATAAACTCACTTTAACAGGGTTCTAAGGGTCCACTAGGTGGTTCTGATCATGCCTTCAGATGTGCCAGTGGTATCAGCAGTCAGTTAGGTGGTTGTAGTGTTCCTTTGGGGGCTCTATGGGTCATTGAAATGGTTCTAGGGACATTCTAGTGGTCTCAGAGAAGGTTCTGTGGGTCTGAACGTGTTCCATTAGGAAATTCTGGGTCTTTAAAAGGTCCATTAGACTCCATTATTGTGTTTCTTTAGGAGGCTTTAGAAGCCATTAAGGAATCAACATAAGTGTTACAAGGTTCTAGTGGTCACTGGGGAGGTTCTGTGGGTCTTCTTTGAGATTTACATGGTCCACTGATAAGGTTAGAGAGGTTTTTAGGTGGTTCTAGTGTTCCTTCAGGGGGTTGTTGTGATCATGGAGGAGGTTCTGGAGGTCTTTTATGGGTTTCTAGAGGTCATTGAGAAGATCAGAGATGTTTTTAGGTGGTTCTAGTATTCCTTTGGGTGTTTTGTGGTCGTAGAGTTTCTTTTAAAGGCTCTAAGAAGGTTCTATGTGAGATTCTGGGTCATTTAAGAGGCTCAGGGGATCCATTAGATGGTTCCAGTGTTCTTTAATCTTAGGGGCCTTTTGGGAGGTTATTATTGTCATTTAGGTGGTTGTAGAGGTTCTTTAGGAGGTTCTTGTAAACAATAATTGATGATGAGGTCTTTTCTGGAATTTTGGTGTTTTTCTGGTGATCCTCTAGGAGGTTATTGTGATCACTAAAGAAGGTCTGGGGTATTTTAGGGGTACTCACAGTCATTGAGAAGGATATAGAAGTTTCTTTTTTTAGGTGGCTCTAGTGTTCCTTTGGATGTCTTAAAGGGAGGCATTTCTAGAGGTCCTTTCAGAGGATATGGTTGTCATTGAGGTTGTTGTGGAGGTCTGTTAGGAGGTTCTAGTGAAGATTAAAAAGGTTAGGTCCTTTATGATCTTCTTTGGCCATTAAGGAAGTTCTAGGTGGTTCCAATGGCCCTTAGGGAGATTATAGTTGTCTTTTTGGTGGTCGAACACTCAATGAGGGAAGATCTTTTAGGAGAGTTCCTCTACAAGAGGCTCGGGGTGGAACAACACCATCACAACACACTTTGCGAGTGCCGGGGTCAGAGGTCACAGCACTGAGACAAGAAGAAGCAGGATGACGATGGTCAACAGATTGAGGACGAGCTGGCTTACAGTCACTGAGCAGCGAACCCACTTACAACTCATTAACCTCCAGCTTCTATCGTGCTGAGCCAGCAGTTTCAGCCAAATCACCCCTCGAGCAGAACATGACACATCAACTCGCCAGACGTTTCACAACCCGCTGTATCGGTTTCTGGAGACAAAAATACACACAGAGCGATCAGATAAACTGCAGTGAGCCCAGCGTCCTCAGGCTGGAGGGGGGAGAGAGAGCGTTATGCAAGCTCTGCTGATCTGAGAGGGGAGGACAAGACCAGTGATGGACGGCCTACAAACCCACGACCATCACCTCCTTAGCCTCCCTCCACCCAAAGAGGCCCTGAGTACTGAGGGGGGACCGTACGGACCATTACAGCAGCTCATTCACCATCGCTGCATCATGTACACAGCAAATTCATTCACAGTTAAAGCATCTAAACCTTCCACCTCTCGCTCTGCTGCCTCATATCAGGACGCAGCCATCACTCCGCTCAATCCCTCCAAACCCACAAGTTTTAACGGCAGCAGGAGTCGGTTGTAACAGCCAATAGGAAAGTCACCTAACCCTAACCACAGAGCTGTCACTTCATGAGACAATGACAGGTGAGTCGTCTTGCTGATGGAGACGTCAGATCAGAAAATGCATCTGTGTGTTTGTTGTTTATTTATCACATCAGAGTCCTGAGTCATGTGTGTGCACGTAGTCGTGTATTACTAATGTTGTGGGGACAAGTCTGTTCCTGTCACCTGGAACTAAGGAACATGTGGTTTTTGTGTTCTTTTGTGTGTTTTTGGTGCGTTGAGCTGGACGGACTCACTGAGAATGATCTGTCAATCACAAGGTAGCCCCGCCCCCCAGCATACCCTGCTTTAAACTGTTTACTAAGCTCATAAATCAACTTCTCCATAAGACTCAATACTATCTGACTATATTCGGGGACACGTTTGAGACCGGTTAGTCGAGGACAGCTCGTCCAACTGGGGACTAAAGCAATAAGGAAAAAGTTTATTTTTGGGTCAAAGGTTAAGGCGAGGGTTAGTCTCCAGGAAATGAATGTGAGTGTGTGTGTTGGAATTTCCAGCATCTCTGTGATTGACAGGTCCTTTTGAAGGAGGCGACGTGCTGCTGTTAGTTAAACTGTAAAGAGTTTTCCACTGTGACGTTGTGGAGCGTTCACACCTCTGTGCCTGTAATCAGACCCAGTCCAACCTGAGCCAAAAACAAAAAACAACCAGCAGGTAGAAACACTCTCAGTCACGATGAGTGTGAACCTGCAGCTGGTCTGAGGCCAGGTATGTTCTGGCTGCAGGATTAAAACAACAGCCAGTGACAGAAAGCAGGGTTGATTTCATGGCTCTTTGCTGGCTGTAAATCTCTCCATCAATGGAACCATTATTGATAAAACACAAACCAGTACAGGCTGGAAAAGTCTCACACAGGTGAGTCTGCGTCACCCTGCAGGTGCGCTGTGTTGTTTTAAAGGCCTGATGATAAACATGTAACAGTAATAAATCATTAGCACATTAATTTAGAGACATTTTTTAATT